AAACGGATCTCCAGCGCTAACTTTGAGTCCGTCGGGTTTCAATTTTGGGAAACGTTTCGCGCGAAACGGCGATATTTCCAATATGCGCGTCAAACGCCATTGAACCACATTACGTGTTTGAAGGTTTTGCGTCAAACACGTGGCAATCCGTTGTGATTTTGGACCTTGACGCGATCTGCGTGAGGGGCGCACCGATGTACCCGCCAGTTTCAATTCATCGCCTCTGAGCTTTACTCCTTCGGTAAGGTGCGCATGAGCACAACTTCCACGTGCGTGCCCAAGCTTATTCAGACAACTGGAGCACGTAAGCATCGCAAAAATGCACAAGAAAAGGAATATCAACTCGGATGGGAGGAGGAACCGGGAAATTGGCAACCAGATGACCAATTAGTGTCATTATACAACCACGTATGCAGATCTAACACATATATGCACATGCAGATTGTCAAGCGCGCCCAGCCTGCTTTTCTCCGTCGGGGGAGTCCACCGAACTCCAGTCTTTCGCGAACCAGCGCTCGAAGCCGCAAGACAACTGCCCTGTCTGGCGCGTCCTGCGCGCCCGGGGCGCGTGGTCCACTTCGTGGACGGAAACATCCGCTACCCCCAGGTTGCCGTGGGTGACCAATCGCGTCAAACATTTGGTTGTCCCCCCACCGTCGCCCCCTCCCCAAAAGTTCCGACATCGCATTTGATGGGGTCGACCCAATGGGGGCACGAGTTTGCCAACGCACAGCACGAATTCCAAAACCTCCAAACATTCATTCCGCGGCCTTCGCGATATCATACATGCCATGTAAACCGAACGGGCGCCGCAAAACTCCCCGCGAAACTGTAGAAGGCAGGTCCAAATCGGTCCCCTCAGAAAAACCTCGCCCGTGGAGTTTTTCCAGTTCCGGGGCTCGGCAAAATGGCGGAAGCCTTTCGAACAATTTGGCATGAGGGAAACAGGGTCCTGATGGAAACGGTCCGATCGGTATGCGAGAGAGAAGCGGCCTTACAGTCAATGGAATCGTTTGTTGGTGGGAAATTTGACGAAGCGTGTCAGTCTACACCCCCAGGACAAACATTCGGTGGATCCGAATTCCGCCGGCGCGTTTTTTTCTATGGGGTTTCCCCCTGGATCCAACGTCGATCCGGTTCGAATCTTATAACATCGAATTTGAACGGGGAACCGGAAACAAAAAAATACCTGCGGATTCCGCAGCCGCAGCCCGCCCATTCTCAGATTGTACGGGGGAGGGGGGTTCGGTCATCGACTTCCCAAATTGGGTTTTGCGCTGTCTCGCGCGCTATCATCAACTTTCCGCGCGCGCGGGCGCCACTCAACATGGATGAATATTTCCCCTCATGGTTGCTGCATACATTTCGTCCAGGCGCCGTGCGTTCGGCGGCGCCGATTCTGTCTGGCGAACTCATCATCGCCGCTTCACCTCAACAGGACAATCTTTCGTCCTACGTCAACGACGACTTTAACTCATCCAAGCCGTGGTGGAGGCGTGGCTCGCTCTGGCTGCCCTCTCGTGCGACGGCCGTGAAATCTGCCCGACTGACCGGCCGACCGACGAATAACAACGACGGCGACGACCGACCGACCGACCGAATGAATAACCGAACGACCCGGCGGCCGAGCGACCGAGCGACCGACGACGACGACCGCGCCGCGGTCGCCGCCGTATAATCTTGGATGGTTCAAGGCCGACCGCGACAAACCGGAATCAAATTCTAGAACGCGCGGGCTGGGGTAAGACTCTTACCCGTCCCCCTAGGAGACGGAGGTTCTGTTTTTAATGATATATAAGGGGGAAGCGAATGTGCCACCCCGGGCTCCAAATCCAGCAAACATCGAATTTTTTTGAAATCGCCCGCCGGGGTCGAACGAGCCCGAATGAATTCGCCGAGCGAGCCCGAATGAGCTCCCCAGCGCGCCCGCCCCACCCTGCGGATCCTCTCACCCACGCTCTGGGGCATAGCCACCTTGCGACTGCCGGTCTCGACCCCGCCTCGCCCGTCAGGGTCTGAAGATTCCTGACTGCATCGCGCTCGCGCTGCTTTGCTGGAGCCGACGCCATAGCGCGCTGCGAAGGCGCGCCACTGGAGCCAAGGCGACCGTGGATGCAACGATACTGAGAGCATGACGTCGGGCCCAAAGATCAGACCGAGAGAGCCTGCTCATTTTAATTTCACGACCGACAATGGCCCACTGACTGGCCAACCAATGGCTTTTATTTGCGGATGGGAATTTTTACGAAGCGTTTCCGTCTACACCCCTACGGCGGAAATGTTGTTGGGCCGACGCGTGCGAGATGACCGACGTCGGACCGAATTCGTCTGCGCGGATCCAAATTTTGGTACTGGTTCATGTTTCGGTGGCCCCGAATTCCGCCCGCACGGGTCTGTGTTCGGATGTAGCGGGTCCGAATTCTGTCCTATTTCTTGTTCGCGCGGGTCAGATTTCTACCCCGTTTTCGACGAGTACCATACAATCCAAACGGGAAGCCGGAATACATCAGATTCGCGGACCGCAGCCCGCCCGTGTTCAATCTCCATGGGAGAAGGGGGCATCGGCTATCCACTTCCCAGGATGGGTTCTGCGCTGTCCCGCGCGCCCCCATCCAATATCAGCGAGCGCGGGCCCGCTCAATATGAATGCATGTCTCTGCTTCTGGTTGCTCCAAGCAGCTCGTCCAGACGCCGCGCGGTCGGCGGCGCCTATTTTGTCTCACGGGCTCCTCGTCGGCGCTTCACCTCGAAAGGAAATCTTTCGTCCTGCACCAATAGCGACTATAGTTGGTTCGGTTGTGTAGGAGGCATTCCGCGCTCTAACTGCCCACTCGTGCGATAACCTTGAAATCCGCCCGACCAACCGGCCGACTGGCCGACCGACGGAACAACGACCGACGGCGACGACCGACGGACGACAACGACGGCAACGACGACCGAAACGAATGACCGAGGGACCCAGCGGCCGAGCGACCGACGACGACGGCGACCAAGCTCAAAATCTAAGGCCGACGGCGACAGGCCGATGTCGAAATCTAGAGTGCGCGGGCCAAGTAAAATTCTAGAAGGGAGCGCTTCGAAGATACGGCCCCTCCCCCTTCTCCACCCATCGGAAACGGGGTTCTGCTTGTACTAATGCGTATGGAGGGGCCGATCACCTCGGGTTCCGAATAAAACAAAAACATGACTTTGAAACCGCCCGCTGGGGCCGAGTGAGCCCGAAAGAACCCGCCGAGTGTGCGCCCGCCCCACCCCGCGGATCCTCTCATCCACGCGGGACTGCCAGGTCTCGACCCTGACATCGTCCGCCAGGGTCTGAAGGTGCCTGACTGCATCGCGCTTGCGATGCTTTGCTGGAACCGACGCCATGGCGCGCTCTGAGAGCGCGCTACTGGAGCCCAAGGCGACTACGCAGGCAACGAGGTTGAAAACATGACGTTGGGCTCAAAATCCTGCCCGATATAAGAGTGCACATTCACATTTCACCACCAACAAGAAGCCATTGACTGTAGGCACGAGTGTCCTTTGATGTGCGGCTCGGGCATATTCGCGCACGACGCGACAACAAAGGCCTGCATGCTTGGGTGTGGCCCTTCCCGCGCCCCCCAAACGCCCAAACGCCGAGCACCCAAGGAGCCGCCGGTGCTGAAGCCTGGGGCTCTTCCCGGGGGCGCTACTCGTCCCGAGTGCTCCTTTGGTGGCCCCGAGGCCTGGGAATTGCCACGGGGGTCAGAAAACATAGAGAAGCCTCCAGGATCCGTTTTCCTCCAGGAACCCCTTCCCTTCGTGGTGAATTGCGCGACGTGTCAAGAAGCGGCCGAATGCAATCCTGGAGCTCCACTGCCTCTCTCGTCTCGTCCCCCATCCGGTGGCACAGCCGCAGCTGCGCGAGTCTTGTCCTGGATCCTTGGGGAATGGTCGGTATTAATACTCTTCCGCCCCCAGGAACGGGCATATACATCTCGATCCAACACTCCACGACGAGGTCCTCGAGATCTGGTGCGCGTCTCTAAGGCGGTAGGTAAATGTACATACACATGTATGCATCTGGGTATACTGAGTAATGCATCTGGAGCATGACAAATGTTCCGGCGGTAGACAATGTCTCCCCTGGTGTCCGTACTGCGACATCAAGTGCCTCCCCGGTTGTTTCCTTCTTCCTTCCTGTCTGGCAATCCCTGCAACCCTTTTCCTTTCCATTGCTCGCGTGCCACAACGCTAGACTGTCGATTCACAAATGGCATCGTTTTCGAACCAACGCTACTCATCGCAGGCTGCCGAGCCAATGACATCCCTAGCAGACGGGGGCTCTGACACCACAACGGGGTGAGTGCCTTCAAGCTCTTCTAACTCAGAGGGCTCGGAGACGAGATTAGGATTGAGAGTTCTGAAATCCAGACAAGTGCCGACGGTCTGGAAGGAGCACTTGAGCCTCAAGCAAACTCAGGTCCCATGCTGGGGGCCTCTGAACAAATCGACGCAGAACTCTGACAGAAAGCCTGGACGTCAGCAAATTGAACGGACAGACAGAATTCCATGTGGTTGTGGTGGCGAACGCTGTGGGGTGCCCGTGTCGTGGGCCTCATCCGGGTGGCCGTGCCCTGTGCCGTGTGCATAGCGCAAGCGGCCGACAACAGTCCTACACATCTGCTTGGGGAGGCGTGCTGCCCAAATTTGAAAGTAGATCCGCATAATTAATGTCGTCTGGTTCGGTCTCCCTCGACCGCCTTCTGGGGTCACCGATCAATCATGCTCTCATCATGCATGACGGGATACTTTCCCCCGAACCCCCCATCATACCACGCGGCCAGTATCGTCCAATTTAGCTAGCTTGGGGGCGCAGGATACAAAGTCTCACCTTCTCGACATTACTGCAGGTGTCGGCAGATGTAGTGGAAGCGGCACGATCAGGCTGCCCTGGGCCGAATGGGACAACCCCCCTGCTCGCATCCCCCGAAGAATGGACAACAACTCGCAACTCGCAGCGAAACCTATAGGGCTCATATCTCCAACTCCTGCAAGCCAGTCATCTGTACGTCCACCTTGGCGCGCAGGGACGATGCGGAACGAGGAAGAGCCAGTTCGGGTACAGTGGAGGCCAGTCCACAAGAAACCTTTCACAAGAAACCCAACCATGACACCCCAGAGCGTCAATGGATTTTGGTGTGGGGACGTCACGGTTTCCATCGCGAAACCATCGGAACCCGAGAACACACATGGCACCCCGAAGGCAAACGAGGTGCTTCCTGCCATGGGCCCCCACTGTACCACTCGCGTGCAGAAGCGCCCGTGACCAGCCCCGCCCCCGCCCGGGTCGCGTCAAGACTCGCACTCGCGCCGCGTGGGAGCGTGCCGCTCCGAAGCCTTCCCAGACGGCGCTGGCGCGGATCGTGACGTGGCTGGCCCCCTCCCCCCCCCCGCCCCCCCCCTCTCCCCCTCGTCTGTTACCGCAAGGGGGAAGCAAAAAACGGTCTCGAGGGGCAAGGCCAGGCAGAGGACGAGATGGATGAGTCGCCACAAGCAAACACGAACGCAAGGCGAAGCTGCAAGACCCGTCCACGGACAACGAGCTGCAGCGGCATCGGGCCAACCGTGTTGGGATCGAACGGCTGGGGAGAACGGGCGAAGCGGGAGACGATGCACAGGCAGCCTCGACACGGTGCTGCACCTGGCTGCAGCTTCCCACTCGTCTTCCTTCGGCGCGACCTTCCGGAGAAGAAGGCAGGAACAGCCGAGGGGACGAATGGAACATGGCCCCAGCACGCCTGGTCGAGAGGGCAATTTGCCATCGCTCGGACGTCCATTCCCCGTGCATGTTTCGGTTTCGTGCGTGCTGTTTCGGCTCGATGGTCAAGGATGCTCCTCGATGGTCCTCGCCGAAGAACAAATGCACACGTCCGAGCGATGCCAGGGCAAGTGGAACGAACCCACTCGCAGAGGTCGGAGGCCTCGTCGCAGGCCCACATCTGGGGCCTCGGCCTCGCGGGTCCATGGCATGCCGCTGCCCGCTGGCGGCGCGCCCAGGGGGGTGCGTGGCGACGACCAGGAAGGCGAACAAGGTGGCAGGGGGGCGCCTCTTGCTTGGGCGCGAGTCACTGGGGAGGCGAGAAGTGTGTGGGGGGGACAGGTGCCTCTTTCGGGCCCTGGAAGACCCCCCTTCTGGGCCCGAAAGGGCCCCTTCAGGCCTCCAGGGGCCCACGGAGGGCCATGGAGGGCCCCTCTGCGGCAGCCCTCGCCGCCCCCCCACTGCTCGCCCCCCCCCCCCCCCACTGCGCGGCCTCGACTTCTCAGCAGCCCTCCCCGCCTTCTGGGCAGGCAGCCTTCCCGGAAGCAGCCGGACCCTTCCGAGGAGGCCGAGTGCCCCTGCCTTCCGAGACGTCCCCCGCCCTCCTTCGGGGGCCGCTCCCTCGCCCCTCCCCCTCTCCCCCCCCCCTCCGCCCGTGTGCGCGCCGCCGAGTCGGGCGGTCTGCCCCAGCTCTGCCGCACGCGCCTCCTTCTGCCGCCCAGTTCCCCAGAAAGGTTGGGCGGCGAGCGGGGGGGGAGAAACGAGGCGAGGGCCTTCTCAGAAGGCGGCGGGACTGCTCCGAAGCCCTCGCATCCTCTGACAGACGTTCTGTGTCTTCGTGGCTCAGAACATTTCTCAGAAGGCCAGGGGGGCCTCCGAGCTTTCTGAGAAGGCCTTCTCCCCCTCGCACTTTCCCCCTCGCTCGCCGTCGAGAGATAACCCCCCCCTGCCGCACCACCAGACATGGCCTCCACTGGTATCGCTCCAGCAGGCTGTATGACGATTGGCGACGGCAGTGCGTTCTCGACACCGAGTGTTTGGTGCGGCGCTCGTCCAGTGAACACACCACTGCAATGCCAAGCGCGGCGCGTTGCGCTGGAAGCGAGGACGCTGACGCGCGACCTCGCGCGAGCAACTCGCGCTCGAATGCCGGCACGATCGAACGCGTGCTTCGGCGACGCTCCCTTGCGCTCTGGCAGCGCGCCCGTCTCGTGCCGGCTCCTATGCAGGCGCGGTGCCCGGCGACCGCAGGTGCACACATGACGGCCCGGCGGGGAGAGGGGTGACAAGGGGGGACCTGGTCAGTGGATCGATTGCCAAGCCATCTGTGACTACCTGCCAGACCACCCCAACCCAACCCGACGACCTGAATTTCGGGTTGGGGGGGGTACGGGTTCCACGCGTGTTTTCTGTATGTTTCCCGACCCCCCCCCCACTAGAAATCGAAGGTCAATCTGAGCCTTCGGGTTGGGTAGGGGTGGTTTGGTGGGTCGTGAATCTGGGATCTTCTGGCCCGTGTCAATCCAGACCCGGGTCAGCAGGAAACCAAGAAACTGCAATGCAGGAAACAAAAACTGCAACGCAGGTCCTCGCAAACTCGGGTCAGCCAATCTGCGCGGCCGCCCTCGCGGCCACGAGCGGCTCGCTAACCCGGGTCAGCCAGAGGGGGTCTTCGCAGGATCCTGCAGGATCCGGTGCCCTGGCTGACCCCCGTTTGCATTGACCCCCGTCTCGAGGCTCCCGAAGCCACGCGCAGCGGAGCACACCCGGCCCCGACCGCGGGGAAGGGGCGATCTCTGGGAGGGTCGACAGCGTCCCCTCGGGCCGTCTCCCGGGCCGCCACTCAGTTACCATCGCCACCGCAGGTCACTGAAGGGGCCCCATGACACACAAATAACGACACACAAATAAACATATTCCCCATATTTTCCTATATTTTCTGAATTTCTGTCTCCCCCCCCCACTTCCCATATTCTCCCACCTTTTCTGGGGAATCGACGATTAATTGTGTCTGTGTGTTTTTTTCCTCCTGAGTCATAGCATTCTTGCTCCAGGTTGCTCGTGCAGCTGAGCGGGCCCCGAGGCAGAGTCCCAGCACGCAACCACTGGGACGAACAAACACCTGAGCATACTCTCTCGCTCATGAGGCTGCCAGCTCAACATCTCAGCTGATGACTGAACTGATACGGATGGGCTCAGATGATAAATATCATCTGGCATCTCATCTCAACCATTCTTGATACATGTCAACTGAAAAAGACCACATGTGCGCCTTGATTCTCATTCGCTCTCTTTGTTGCTGGGGTGTCGACGTTGTGCCCTGCGGCCCTCTCCCGGGGCGCGTCCTGCCCTGGATGACCCAGCGAACCCGACCGTGCCGACGAGGAGCGTGATCCTCCGACCCTATCTACGCTGTTGCTCGGACCCACTCGGGAGGCTTGGAGGTATTGGCGGCGCGCACGATTGGCGCGCAGAAGGCCTTCTCCTTCTCACTTACCCCCCTCGCCCGCCGCCGATTTGGGTCATCCCCATGGCGCCCAACAACGCGCCCAAGTCGGCGGCGCGCAGAGGGAAGGTGGGAGATGGGGGGAGGGCTTCTTAGGAGGAGGAGGATGCTTAGAAGGCGCCGGCCCTACATCTATAGACAAGGCCCGCGCATTCTAAGAAGCAAGGGTGCTTCCAAGAAATCTTCCCCGCCTTCCCCTACCCCGCTCTGCGCGCCGCCAAATATGGTGATGCGCCCTGCTGTTGCCCTCCGCCCGACGCGCCTGCATGATCATGAAGCTTATACTATGCAA